GGTGCTACTCAGGTCTGGCCACAGACCTCACTGGACACACGGAAACTACACACATCCGCGGTACATGCGGTACAACATGGCTTAAACTAGCAAATAATGCTTTTCTGTGCACAAAACTGACACTAAGCATATACTAACATGTGAGAACACTGACTGAGAGGAATTAACACACGACATATATCTTCTCTCAATCTTCTGGACAATACTGGAATAATTACTAGAAACACATCGATGTGACATGTGTGATGTCAGGCGTGATGTCGCGAGGTGGCGTCAGCAGCATTGTGACATCAGCAGACATCTCGAGGTGACGTCAGGCAGACATCGCGAGGTGATGTCAGCAGACATCGTGACGTCATGAAGTCGGACAGCATCGTCGGTGACGTCAATGTGATGCGGCAGCAGACCACAGCTTGAGGCTTGGGACATCTGGCTCGGTAACTCACGTGGCTTGTAGATCCACGTGACAATCGCCCACACCCCACGTGGCGTCGGGATCCACGTGGCATGCTGATCTACGTGACTTGCTGATCTACATGGCATGCTGATCCACGTAGCTTCAAGTGCCTCAGGCACTCGGATACACAGCACTGGCGACCATTTCACATGGAAAACAGCAGAAAACACAGCAGAGGGAGTGAACACATAGTGGTGGAGTGTGGTGGTAGGTTGGTGAGGTGTGAGTAGGGCGAGCATGGGCAAGGTAAGGAATGGCCACTTCCTCCTCCTCCTCCTCCCCCACCCACAAACACAGGGAGACACACTGGACGCCGAAATCACTGCAAAACTCACCTCTGACTTGCTGAAATAGCTGTGCTCAGCTGAACAACAGCAGAACATACAAGTGACTCTGAACACATGACTTGAGAAAAAGCGTGGGACACTGTAGCGTGGGGTCACTGGGACGCCACTTACAATTCTCGAAGAAATTCGGTAAATTTCGGCTGGATCCTGCTTGTACCTGTGTCTGGATGCTCGAACATGCAGACACGACATCAAGACAACTCGTTGAGAGACGGATGCTTCTTGTATAGGGTGATAAAGTGAAGATGACTTCATACCTCTTCCTCTCTCCAGGCAAACACAACTGCTGCGACCACCGCTTCCCACCAATTATAACCAATTATTTGGTGATGCTGGTAGCAGGGAGTAAATGATAAACGTCTTCGGAGGCTTCTTACTTTATTTGTAAAGTAGTGGTGGATACACAGGCTTGTGCGTTGTGCCCATGGCCTGGGAGGGCCATCCCACGAGAGAGAGCTACTAGGCCTTGTGTCTTCCTGCTAGGCCGCTGTGTGAGTGAGAGAGTGTGGGACCAGCTTCCCACAGACTTGGACAGGCCCAGAGGGTAGCACCTGAGTGGCGCGAAATATGAACTAAGCTGGCAGACAGCATGACTGTCTGTGCAGACAGTACAGGCTGTCTACAGTGTGTGTGTTTGTGTGTGTGTGTGTGTGTGTGGTGTACTCACCTAGTTGTACTCACCTAGTTGAGGTTGCGGGGGTCGAGTCCGAGCTCCTGGCCCCGCCTCTTCACTGATTGCTACTAGGTCACTCTCCCTGAGCCGTGAGCTTTATCATACCTCTGCTTAAAGCTATGTATGGATCCTGCCTCCACTACATCGCTTCACAAACTATTCCACTTACTGACTACTCTGTGACTGAAGAAATACTTCCTAACATCCCTGTGATTCATCTGTGTCTTCAGCTTCCAACTTTGTCCCCTTGTTACTGTGTCCAATCTCTGGAACATCCTGTCTTTGTCCACCTTGTCAATTCCTCTCAGTATTTTGTATGTCGTTATCATGTCCCCCTATCTCTCCTGTCCTCCAGTGTCGTCAGGTAATTTCCCTTAACCTCTCCTCGTAGGACATACCTCTTATCTCTGGAACTAGCCTCGTTTCAAACCTTTGCACTTTCTCTAGTTTCTTTACGTGCTTGGCTAGGTGGGGGTTCCAAACTGGTGCCGCGTACTCTAATATGGGCGTAACGTACACGGTGTACAGGGTCCTGAACGATTCCTTATTGAGATGTCGGAATGCTGTTCTGAGGTTTGCTAGGCGCCCATATGCTGCAGCAGTTATTTGGTTGATGTGCGCTTCAGGAGATGTGCCTGGTGTTATACTCACTCTAAGATCTTTTTCCTTGAGTGAGATTTGTAGTCTCTGGCCCCCCTAGACTGTAGTCTGTCTGCGGTCTTCTTTGCCCTTCCCCAATCTTCATGACTTTGCACTTGGTGGGGTTGAACTCCAGGAGCCAATTGCTGGACCAGGTCTGCAGCCTGATCAGTTCCCTTTGGAGTTCTGCATGGTCTTCGATCGAATGAATTCTTCTCATCAACTTCACGTCATCTGCAAACAGGGGCACTTCGGAGTCTATTCCTTCCGTCATGTCGTTCACAAATACCAGAAACAGCACTGGTGCTAGGACTGACCCCTGTGGGACCCCGATGGTCACAGTGCCCACTCTGACACCTCGCCACTTACCATGACTCGCTGCTGTCTTCCTGACAAGTATTCCCTGATCCATTGTAGTGCCTTCCCTGTTATACCTGCTTGATCCTCCAGTTTTTGCACTAATCTCTTGTGTGGAACTGTGTCAAACGCCTTCTTGCAGTCCAAGAAAATGCAATCCACCCACCCCTCTCTCTCTTGTCTTACTGCTGTCACCATGTCATAGAACTCCAGTAGGTTTGTGACACAGGATTTCCCATCCCTGAAACCATGTTGGGCTGCTGTTGATGAGATCATCCTTTCTAGGTGTTCCACCACTCTTCTCCTGCTAATTTTCTCCATGACTTTGCATACTATACATGTCAGTGACACTGGTCTGTAGTTTAGTGCTTCATGTCTGTCTCCTTTTTTAAAGATGGGACTACATTTGCTGTCTTCCATGCCTCAGGCAATCTCCCTGTTTCGATAGATGTATTGAACATTGTTGTTAGGGATACACGTAGCGCCTCTGCTCCCTCTCTTCAGGACCCATGGAGAGATGTTATCCGGCCCCATTGCCTTTGAGATATCTAGCTCACTCAGAAGCCTCTTCACTTCTTCCTTGTTGTGTGTACTGCATCCAGCACTTGGTGGTGTGCCCCACCTCTCCATCTTTCTGGAGCCCCTTCTGTCTCCTCTGTGAACACTTCTTTGAATCTCTTGTTGAATTCCTCACATACTTCACGGTCATTTCTTGTTGTCTCTCCTCCTTTCTTCCTTAGCCAGATTACTTGGTCCTTGACTGTTGTTTTCCTCCTGATGTGGCTGTATAACAGCTTAGGGTCAGATTTGGCTTTTGCTGCTATGTCGTTTTCATATTGTCGTTGGGCCTCCCTTCTTATCTGTGCATATTTATTTCTGGCTCTACGACTGCTCTCCTTATTCTCCTGGGTCCTTTGCCTTCTATATTTCTCCCATTCCCTAGCACACTTGGTTTTTGCCTCCCTGCACCTTTGGGTGAACCATGAGCTCATTCTGGCTTTTTCGTTAATCCTGTTACCTTAGGATACAAACCTCTCCTCAGCCTCCTTGCACATTGTTGCTAAATATTCCATCATCTCAGTAACTGGCTTCCCTGCCATTTCTCTGTTTCCACTGAACCCCGTTCAGGAAGTTCCTCATTCCTGTGTAGTCCCCTTTCTTGTAGTTTGGCTTCATTCGTCCTGGCCTTCCTGCTTCCCCCTCCACTTGTAGCTCTACTGTGTATTCTAAGCTTAAAACCTCATGATCGCTGGCCCCAAGGGGTCTTTCATATGTGATGTCCTCAATATCTGCACTACTCAAGGTGAATACTAAGTCCAGTCTTGCTGGTTCATCCTCTCCTCTCTCTCTTGTAGTGTCCCTTACGTGTTGGTGCATGAAGTTTTCCAGTACCACCTCCATCATCTTAGCCCTCCATGTGTCTTGGCCCCCATGTGTCTCCAAGTTCTCCCAATCGATCTCCTTGTGGTTAAAGTCACCCATGATCAGGAGCTTTGCCCTGCATGCATGAGCTCTTCTGGCCACTGGAGCCAGTGTGTCAACCATTGCTCTATTGCTCTCGTCATACTCTTGCCTTGGCCTCCTGCTGTTCTGTGGTGGGTTATACATCGCTGCAATTACCACCTTGGGACCTCCAGAGTGAAGCGTTCCCGTTATGTAATCACTTTCTTCTCCGCTGTCTCCTCTCTCCAGCTCATCAAAATTCCATCGGTGTTTGATCAACAGTGTCACTCCTCCACCCCCCCTGTTCCCTCTGTCTTTCCTCAGGATCTGGTATCCCGTTGGAAAGATGGCATCTGTTATCATACCTGTTAGCTTGGTTTCTGTGAGAGCTATGATGTCTGGTGATGCCTCTTTGACTCTTTCGTGCCACTACCTCCCACTTATCTGTTATTCCATCAGCATTTGAGTACCATACCTTCAGTTTCCTCTCCAACACTGTGGTTTGCGGGCCCGTGAGGGTGGGAGACCTGGCAGCATACTGTGGGATTCTATAGCTGGGTGTTGGGTGGAAGCTGTGAGTGTGTGTGTGTGCGTGTGTGTGTGTGTGTGTGTGTGTGTTGTGTGTGTGTTCTGTGTGTGTGTGTGTAATCATCTATCTGTACTCATCTAATAACACCCACTTAGTTGTTCACCTAGTTTTACTATCCAATAACACCCCGCCTAGTTTTTTGCCTAGTTGCACTCATCTAATATTACACACCATTTTTTGTCACCAAGGTATACTCAGCTCACTGAACGAGCTTGAATGGAGACAGCGTTTCCTCCTGCGTAGAGCTTTGTCAAGTCTAATTAATATCTTACATAAGAGGTGAGATTCCCCAGGATATCTGAATGAATGACTCACACGGGTTTTAAGCACTCTAAGGGTCCACATATCTTCAGTGTAAATATTCTTCCACCCGCTCACTTATCCACCATGCACCCATCATCCACCCCCCCACTCATCCACCCACCCACTCATCCACTCACCCACTCATCCATTCACAGACGATAAATGAAAGCACTACGCAGCTTCAAGTCTCACCTGCATATCCTTCTCAAGCAACGGAGTGATACAGTCTTCTTGGCTCCAGACTTCTGCAGATCCTTCAGAGCCTTCTTCTGAGCCTTGAGTTTCTCCTTCTCTGCCCTGGCTTGTTCCTTGGCTTCCCTGGCTTTCCTCTCCTTGTCTCTCTTCTTCATAAACCTCCAGGCCACTTGTTGTAGCTCCTGCTCCTCTTCATACCTGATGTCCCTGGTAACGAGATGATGCAAAAAAATTAACAGTGGCCCTAGTTAATTAGCCTGTGGACCGGTTACCAAAGTATTTCTACACTCGAAGCAAAACCTGTTGCCAGAAATGATTAATGATGGCCTGGTCGACGAGTCTGTTATTGCCAGAGATTTAAAAACTTATATGGCCTAAAAAATAAAAGCCAGCAATATCATTTGGGCCTGAGTTAGCAAAATTTACAGGCAATATTGCAATGGAATTTCTGACGAAGTACTCAGTGGCAATTGGAATATTAATCCTACAAAGAGAATTATATTTTTAAAATATGGATTTAAAGTGGTAAATT